GAGGCCTGCTTCTGTAGTGTTATGGGATTTGGTTATTACAGGATAGCTAGCTACCTGTGTGCAGAAATACATCCCTTTGAGGAAAGACTGCAGAGCAATAATACTCCACCATTTGATCTGATAAGTAGACTAATTGCAGACAAATTACTGGCTTTGGGTGAAAATTACCCAGTGACAGGGATTAGTTAAATTGATTATATCCACAAGAGTATTAACTCAATTTGTTTTTGTGGGTTGGAAAGGCATCTGAAACAGAAGATAGACCATAAACCTCAGTCTCCAGTTCACCTGATGGTCACATGTACTACGATGTGGGGCTTATGCTGGGTATTAAAAGGATTAGGATGACAGCGTTAAGGGTTAATACTTTCTGTGGTAATTCTGAATCTAATTGAAAGGATGTGAGTGTTTGGAGAGCATATATATTTGGAGAATAACAATGATTGTGCCAAGTATGTAGATTTTATATAGTGGTGCACATTGCACCATCCACTGTTGCAATGTACGGTAATTGCATTGGGATGTATTTAGACCTACAACTAACAATTGTTTCCAATATTGATTAATCTGTTCCATTTATTTTCTCTAAAATGTCAGGAAAGAGTGAAACATGCCCTCACAAGTTACTAAAGCCCAAAGTGGCATCTTCAAATTGATTGTTTTGAGTAAACCTAAAGATTGAGTGGCAGGAATCAGTATTTTGTTTTGTTTTTACTCTTTAAATTACCTGATGCCATTGATTAACTTTCTTTCGATTGACAATAATTATTCATCAACTACTTGTTTCTGCACTCATTATTTCCTAAAAGCTACTGGTTCAATGACTTTCAATAATTCAGTGTACTATTAATTGGCTGTTTCTCAAAGAGTTATGATGAATTCAGTAGACCAAAAGGTCATCAACTCAAAGCTACAATAAGTGACACTTACTACACATAATTTGTTAAGTCGTTTGTAATCTAACTTGTACAGGTACAGAATAAATGTATAAGAAGTCACTCATACATTAACTCAACTTACTCCATATGTCCATGTACACATCACTTAAGATCATTCCAAACCCTGAATACAGTTTTACAGTTTTCATGTCACTGCACTGTATCAGCCTTAGTAATGTGCATTACAGCAGTCCCAAACCTATGTACATGCACATCATTGTGTGTGTGTGTGTGTGTGTGTGTGTGTGTGTGTGTGTGTGTGTGTGTGTGTGTGTGTGTGTGTGTGTGTGTGTGTGTGTGTGTGTGTGTGTGTGTGTGTGTGTGTGTGTGTATACATAAAAACTCCCAAAACTTCAATCCTCCAATCACGGAACATACAGTACAAGTAATCTCAATAAATGTCAAGTTGCCAGTGAGAGGTCCTCAGGGAGTGAATATATTCAAAAACATGTCCTTTTTTGGTTTCATTTTTATGTCTGAAGTGGAACTGTATATGTTTCACTTTATAAACATACATGGTTTTGACTTTCAGCTTATCCGAAACAGACACTTTGCTGGTGACTAAAAAAAACCACGCACACAGAGCAACCCACTTTTCTGAGCTGAACTGGACCAACCAAAAACAGATCGCCCTGCATCCATTTATGATTTGGGCGTGGATATAAGGGATGAATACACATACACAGACAGACACATGCTTATACACACCAGTAGAGCAGGGACAGAGGCCTTAAGTGAGTACAGCTGTGTAGCCAGATGTGCTTTCGAGTCCTGTGGTTACAAGTGCATGTGCACTTAACGTGTGTTTGTGCGTCTGAACCTGAAAACCTACTCTACTCATTTTAATCCCTCAACAGAACAACCATTTCCCCTGCACACACCCGACCCATACTGCCCCTGGCAATATGATCTGCCTCTCCCTCTCTCTCTCTCTCTGTCCCTCCTTTATCCACTGACTGAGTAACAGCAGTAATAAAGCTATATAAACAATATGACCTGAAATGTATTTCAGTTTAATTTGAGGATAACATTTAAGTCACATTGGGGAAAAAACAGATGCTATATTTATCTGACTTCCTTCATGGCTGCCATTAAAAACTCTCTCCGTCCAATCTTATCTCTCTTTAGTCTCTTTACCTTTAAACTGTCATGTCTCCTTAGATCCACTAGGGAGCAGACTCTTCAATGACTGATTGAATGAATGAACGAACAAATGAATGAATGAGGTACCTCCTCTGCGACATATATTAATAAATTAATATTTGCTTATCCACAAACAAGTGGTTGAACACACACACACACACACACACACACACACACACATACACACAATATTACAACACACAATATTAGTCACTATGCTTAAATGTCAAGATATTAGATTGTGGCAGACAGACTGGTGTGTGTGTGTGTGTGTGTGTGTGTGTGTGTGTGTGTGTGTGTGTGTGTGTGTGTGTGTGTGTGTGTATGTGTTTGTTTGTGTGCTCTAACAAACCACCACACAAGCATGCTAAATGCCCTACAAGCACAAATGAACACACTCAACACACACACACACACACATACACACATTGAACTGCAGACACCCAAAGAGCAAAATATTCAACAGTAAGACCGGTGAAGGTCATCATTAGCATAGTATTAACAGCCCTGTGTAAGAATGTGTGTGACTGTGTGTGTGAGACTAGTATGGGTCAAGCATGACCTATCATGTATTCATATCCAGAGACAGAGACAGGTCTATATGGTTCAGAGGTGTGTGTGTGTGTGTGTGTGTGTGTGTGTGTGTGTGTGTGTGTGGGGGTGTGTGGTGGAGGTGTGTTTTTATTCTAGCTGTGAGGGGTCACATATGTCCCAGTGTCCTGTGGGAATAACATGGGGTCTCGTGCTGACAGCACAACAGGAAGGGACATGGACGGACACACACCACAGACACACACACACACACACACACACACACACACACACACACACACACACACACATTCATTTTAAGTGCTACACTGGCACATTTGGTGAAGGAGAAGGATTATTAGGTCACATTGCTTCACCAAGGACATGAGTTCAGCTTTTCCCTGACAAAAAACACCTGCGTAGGTCAGTTCACTCTTGTAAGAAGAGTATGCAGAAGAAACCACACTGTAAGAAAGAAATCCAGCCAGGAATTCCTGATGTACCAAGCACCATGAAATATCTAATTGACAGCTCAATTACTTAATTTTCACAACACTCACAATGATAGCAATTTAATTCATTCATGCAATAAACCCTGAGGTCTGTATCCATCCACCAACTGATCCTGAGACAGTTGACTCACACCATAAAATAACACATTCAAGAACACATCAGAGGCACACATTCACTCTTCTGACCCTGAAATTAATATAAGATTATTTAGTGTTTTGCATGTACGCTGTACAAAGTCCTATTGTTTTTCCCATTCATTCACTCAATTTTCTCATTCATAGTTTGAGTTTGAATCATAGACTGTATAATAAATTTGTCAAGCACACAGAAACAAAAGCAGTAAAATCTCTCATTGACAAACTCCTTGAGACAAAAAGAGATATTTTTGGTATGTGACAACCATTTTTTTAGCATGCATACCATAGTTTTGTGCACTAGGTTCAGTGATACTTACTTAAGCCAGCTTCCTATATCTGCAGCTGTTTACAGCACACTCAGTTAGGACATTTTCCACAGACACATACAGTACCTACACCAGTTTCAATACTGTAAGTGATGTGCCTGTTCTTATTCTACACTACAATAAAGTTAACCACAATGGGGAAGCTTTAATCAGCCTGAACTAAACCCAACCTCACAAATAACATTTTAATTAGTGGTCTGCCCACCTCATTAACCCCCACTGTTCCTAACCATTTCCAACTGTCATGTACTTCAGCTAATAAAGAAACCCACTGTCTCCACCTCTGTCTTTGTCTTATTGCCTGTACAGTAAGTCTATCTGTCCCACTGTGGTTCTATATCTGACTCCCTCTAGCTGGATGCACTTTATTAGCCCCATGGTGCATAATGCATGCTAATTTGTTACCAATTAACTCCAAGTCTGATGTGTGGCCCCACTGTATTCATGACTAAAATCCAGTCAACTGCAGCAGAGGATCATTGAACCCAGAGGCAACATGTTTAAAAATTATGCAGTAAAAAGCTCTGCCAGAAGGGCTTTCAATTTGTTTTTTTTCCAAGCCTCCTGTGTGCATAACCACTCCTTTTTTACAAGTCAAACAATATCCAAACCTAAATGTATTTATTTCTTTATCAAAATTTATGAGCTAGAAAACTACTCAGTCTAGGCTGGCTATTCAGCATGTCGCAAGACCTAACAAAAAATATATATGTTGATATACAGATGATAAATATATATAGTATATGATTTCATACTGTATCATAAATCAACTCACAACACTCTGGGGCTCATAATCTGCCTGTTGAGAATCATTGTACTAATGGAATTAAAATTGATTATATGGATTACCCACAAAAAAAAAAGAAATCACTTGTCAAAGAAAATTAGAAAAAGGCAGCAATCTATACGGATTCAAATGTGCTCTTAGTGGTCAATGTCTTTCCGTAATCAATCATGTTCAAAGCAATATAGCCTAAATCTCCAAGACAAAAATCTAAATAGTCTTGTCTGTGGCATCTTTTATTTTGTTTTGGCACTATGTAATTGATTAACGGCTTCAGATACAATAATTATCCTAAATCCCAAAGGCTGTTTGGTCCCTGCTCTTTTCCACAGCTGGTTGAATGAAGGTCAGACAAATTACAGCATCCTTATGATTTATGAGAACAATAACTCTGACTACACAGCAACACAGTAAGCAAGGGAACGATTAGAGGCCCAGTCTTTCACGAGCAACCAAGTTAATAAGTGTCACTGTCCAAATGCCACAGTTAATGAAGGAACAGGTTATTTTTGGAGGCTATGCTACTGAGCATAACCAGCTCACCACTGGGTGACAGACATAGAAGAAATCACACACGCAGTCATACACAGCGAAAGACAGGGAGACAATTAGACAGTCTAGTTTTTACCTTGCTGGAGTAAGGTCCAGGGATGAGCAGTTTCAGTGCTTGTCTTTTCAGCTCTGTCAGTCTTGCATTGCAGTTCTCACACCATATCCCTCTTTCACTACCAGGGGAACTTCCACTGCCTGAGGCCGGTGATCCTGTCCCAAAACCCGGGGAGCCACCCAGAGAACCGGGAGATTCTGTCCCAATCCCCGGAGAGATGGTCCCCGGGGATCCAGAGAATGAACCCGGTGAGGAGATTCCTGAGCCTGGGGACGGGGTGCCTGTGGAGCTTGGCATTGAGCCGGCTCCCTCTGGGGCGGGGCGTGTGCTGGAACGCGTGGTTTCCTCGTAGGGCTTTCGGTACCATGTGTCCGGGAAGAAGGAGGCAGATTTGGTAGGGGAAGTGTCGGGCATCTGTGAACATTTTTAAAAAAGAAGAAGAAATCTTGACTTACAGGCCCTTTTCACTGCAGACATTTGGGCATGTCATATCGGGAAAAGTACAGGTGTAAATATGAATATTAATGAGTAATGCCTGAATTCCCCATTGGTTTTTGGGTCTGCTGAAATTCATGAACAAAAAATGAACCTGACTCACTGCTTCAATATTCGTTCTTAGCCTTCATGACAACAATTAATAAATGGTGAATCTCTTGTTTTGGAAAATAAGGCTAGACATACAGTAGTCACAGTATCTGATGCCAATAACTTTGGCATGACAAGGAGTCTAAACTAACATTTGGGCATTAAATCAAATAAGCAGACAATTTAAAAAACACAAACAGGAAGTAATGTTAAACATTTACTGTGTCAACATATTAGATTCTTCCATTACGGTCTAAATAGGATCAAGTGAGACTCAAGTCAGTGGAGACCTGTGTTATTTCTCTCTCTATTCAGACTGCCACATGGGAACATCAAATGAGCCACAAGGAGTTGAAAATTAGATCTTTTGAGGCTGGGTAAATCCAGTCAGAGAGAACAGACCCATTGATGTGGTGGTTGCATGGAGAGGTTGGCTACTATGGCTGCTATAATCCCTCACAAGGGCTATAATAAGGAAAGCAATAGATAGGCTGATAGGTGGGAATGCACAATCATCTCCAAGTGAAGAGGTAGGTATAATGTGAGTTATAAATTAACGCTAATTAGGCTGTATGAGGTAGGCAGTGACACAGGTGTGAGTGTAATACCTGATTGAGCTGCTTGCTCCTTAGCTAATGATAATTAAGAGATGTGGGAGATCTATCAGTGAAAATGCATGCCACTGTTGTGACACCATGAGCAGTGATGTGTGAAATATGATCTTCACAAAACAATCAATCAACAGCATGCACAGAAATCTACTAAAATGAGCTTCCATGAGTTCCATGGCAGCCTGAAAAGGGGGTGAGCAAACTACAGTTTCCTATTAAAATGGAGGGGGGGTGAGATGAAGTGCATGCATCACTGAATGGATCATAAGTTCTTTCTGTGTTTTCCAGGCTTATAGCTGACAGAGGTGTGCCCAACCCTTTGACAAGTGGAATGAATAACGTACCCCATATTTTCTGCTCCGGCTGCTCACAGACCTCTCCTTGGTCCCCGACAGTGAAGTCATGTTGGAGGTGAAAGAAGGGGGGAGAGGAGAGGACAGGAGAGGAGAGGAGAGGAGAGGAGAGGAGAGGAGAGGAGAAAGAACCTTTGCTGCTGCTTCACATTCAAAAAGAGACCACCGGATCGATTTCAATTAACCACAACGCCCCTGCAGTTGGCTCTTCTCAGTCTGGACGAAACCTCACGCCACTTCCAAACACATGTGGAAACCGGTTACATCCCAATTCCGTCGCCAAGAGACAAAAAAAAAAAAAAAAAAATCCAAGATGGTTTTTGTTTTCTTTTTCCAGAAAAATCCTCGAATCACTTGTATAAAATAAACTAAGATTTCACACAGGTCTTGCGAGAAAGCAGCAGACCGCTCCCTGTCAGCAGAGGCTGCTCTGCGCTCTCTGCTCAACAGCGCTCCGGACTGGCACCGCACTCAGCCCTGCCTCTCTCCATCAGCGCTGCGTCTCAGGCTGGCCAGGTAAAACAAAACCAACCCGGGGGGCGGGGGGGGATTCCTCCTCAAGGGCTACACCGACAAAGTCACGACTCATTAGATCGAGTAAGATCTGGCTGGTGCAGACCAGGGATAAGGGATTTAGTTCCTCGTTGTTTATACTTGAAGTGTGACTATCCGTGCCCTCCTGTTGACTTCCTGAGGCTCCGCACTCTGCTGAAGCCAGCAGCGGACTGGAGAGACAGGAGAGAGGCGCACATCTGGAGGAGGGCGGGGCCACCCTGTTCCTCAACAACCACAGGCCAATACAAGTCCAGAGGCTCCAGATGAGTGGCAGGTACGCTGCTGCCTGTGGGAAGACAAAACTGGATCTTTTTAGATGGAGATGTGTAACATTATTGTGGGATGTTGTTAGGATGATGTGTGTGTTTATCCCTTCCATTGAGTCTTGTGGGGTTTTTTTTTCTCTTGGAATGATTTAAAGAGACATAATAGTGTAAAATCAAAATAAACTTACAGACAGGGGTTATTTTCCAGTATTTCTAGAATTAATATAATAACTTGTCTACTTACAGTTAAACAAAAAATTAAGCACTTTGACTTTCCCATCAGATTCGTATTGCTTGCAGTGTAGAGAGAGATAAGAAACAGCAAATACATTGTTTTAGAAAATATTAATGAACAGTTACTGAATTAATAAAATTAGAAAAAAACAAAAAAAAACATTTAAAACCTTAACTTGGGGGGAGCTTGACCTCAGAATTTCTCAGATCCTCGCTATGGCTAATTTCTCTTTTAGGGATGGAGGGGCTGGAGATGAATACAATCAGCAAGTTACAGAGGGATGTTGCATGAAGCGTGGCCTGAACTGTGATGGGGACGTGAATGTTGACAAACGAGGAAACTGATCAGTGTTATGATCAGAGTGTCTCTAATCTTCAATATGTGCTCACAAGTCGGGACCCTGCAGAATCCTCTTTTTTTCTTTCCCATGGTTTAGAGAAGTGACCTGCAATTGTCTCTGTTAGTCAAACTCTCAGTCCATAGGGGCAAATGGCTGGTCCTTTGATTTAATTTAGTGTGTGAGTGTATCTGGTGTGCCAAGTCAAGAAGAAGTGATGTAGGAAAAAGTAAAGGTAAGTGTTTTAAGGAGTCGTTGTATTAAAGAGAGCAGTCAATGAGTGGTTACACAGTGCCCTCTACTGTTGTCATAAAGTTATTGCCAGAGACACAGTCGTCCAGCAGTTGAGTGAACAAGGAGCATGTGGGATGTTACAGTATAATATGGACATTTTTCCGATTTGAAGTAGTATAAAATAAAAGGTATTAAAGAGTTTCACATTTGCCAATTAGACTTACATTTCAAGAAACACATCTTGACATGTTATAGTAGGAAAAGCAAAACTATAAATAATAAAATGAATGATAGATCATTGCCATCAGGGTGCTGATATGGTTCATGTTGGCTCACTGTCACACTGCCATAACTTACTGGGACACTTGAATAGAACAGAGTCATTATTATGTTATTACATAACTGTCACAAACAGTTAGAGAAGAGTTCAATACATCTATATAATGTTCATGGCACTGTTTTGCCTGGTTCCTGCACTTGTAGGTGTGGACTGAAATTAACATAGGCTACAAAACAGCTGGCAAAGATTGGTACAAAGTTATTAATAAGAGTGACAGAAGGAATGGGAGGTGCACAAAGCAAATATCTGAGAATAAAGGATCCTGGGAAAAGAAGGTGATGGAATATTTGGACTGTGCAATAGGACATAGTATGGCTTGGGCATGCTTTTTAACTCTACACTTCAAGTAATAGAAAAGTTACTTGTAGGCCTATTGTATGTTGTAAAACCTACGGACTTGGGCTTGTCGCCCCCTTGAAATGTTTTCTTACAAACTCTTGTTGTTGTTAGCAGTCTAAATTAGTTTTTGTTTATTGACAAAATCTAGTAAATTGAAAGTAAAGAGAATTTTTGTTGTTGGATTTTGGTTCTGTCTCCCACAGTAATTAGATGTTACCCCACGTTGAGTATCTCCATCTCCAGGTTGGGAACTGATGCCCTAAACATTAATGTTTTCATTACTGTCATATCTACCTAACCCATGTACATAAAGATACCTGCATGTAAAATATTAATTCCAGTATCCTTTTGCACTCCTCACCATTGCGTACTGTCTACAAATGTTTGTTTGTATATCTGTACATATATGTCTTTTGTTGTTGTTGAACTTTTTCTGTTTATTTATACTGTTAATTTGTGTTCGTACATTGAGAGCAAGGTAAAACCTTGCCAATAAAAGTGATTCTGATCCTGATAAGTATTGACATTATTTGGACCCTCCCACTCCGGTACAGTAGGTGGCGGTAGGTAAGCTACATGTCGTCAAGACAACCAGCATTTAAGACATGATCCGCGAGTAGTTCAAGGTCCAGTTCTTGTAACGTTACAGTGTACGAGTGGTTGGCTATATTAAATATTTCTTACTTTATCACAACTTTGGAGGTCTTTTTTCCCCACCAGTTCTGGAGACATAGTGCATGTTTGCAGGCTCGACGATGCACGGGGTCTGCTCTCCTCGGTTGCTAGCTAACGTTAACGACCCAAACAAACGGTGGGATTCAAGATTGTAAGGTGAGTGGCTACTTGTACCAGTTAGTTATACTGTGTTTGCCTGCGGTCACAACTTGACAATCACTTCATCTCATAGCCTGTAGGCCTGCAGGTGCAAACTGCTGCATGAAATGTTTGTTTAGCTATAACTTACCTGTGTATAGATTGAGCTGAGTAATAGCTGTACGGCTAGCTAACTCATACATAACTCCTGTAAATATATATTTATGCTCCGTAATATGTGTTAGCAATAATATATCGCTGCTTTTATTGCTCGGGGGTTTTTGTGTGTCGTTGTGTTTGTTTACTTGAATGCTAGCTGCACACTGGTGTCATGTTCCAGCTTGTTTGCTAGCAACACGTTAGCGTTGTCTCTGTCAGGCTACCGTGTTAGCCCGCAGTACATTACTCATAATACAATATTAGGTAGATGTTAAGCATGGTGTCTGCACATGTGGGGGGCTTTTTATTGCCAAATACTTTAATGCAGGCTCATCTGAACTGTTTGTTGCAGGGGGCAGGTACTGTTGTTAATATGGTGCGTTATCTTGGACACAACAATAGTAAAATATTGAACTAGTTTGCCGCGTGTTTTGATCCTGTCTGCGTCGAAAGGATTTCCTTTTATTTTGGTGAATTTACCTGGCGTAAACATATGCATGCAATTACTGCAGCCCTTATGGTATTTATCTGAGTGCCAGCATGGCCCGACCTTAAAGCGAAAGTAGGTCCTACTCGATAAGGCCAAAACATTGTAGGTTGGTTGAACAATATTTCGTTAACTTTCCTCTGTTTTGTCTCACAGCTGCCTAACCTTTTACCTATCTGACAGCCCTGGACATCTGATCCAGTGGACACAAGGCAACTCTTTCCAGAGAGAGGGCTGCACCAACTCGTGTAACAATGACAGGTAATCTTGTTATTTCACTTTCTGAATTTTGGTGGGAGTCAGCTGAGTCTGGGTTTTTCACAGAAGCATAAGAAGCCGCTCCGACTGACAATAGACAAATGGTTATGATTGATCTTTCAGGTGGACTACAGAAAACAAGAAAAAGGAAACCCAAAAAGACGCCAACAAAGAAAGCTGCCTTAGACACTTTACAGGCTACAGAGGAATCGAATGCTGTTCCAGGCAGTGATTTGGCTATTGTCAGCCAGTGCACTGCAAGTTCCTTACCAAGTACTCCAAAAAGAGGCAGAGGAAAAACTGGAGAGACAGAAGAATCTTGCCTGACCTCTACACCAGTTCACAGCTCCTCCACTGACATCCTGTCCAACATTTCAAAGTCCTCCCCCGCATCAAAACAAGTGGAGATTGAATACACAGAACTCATCACTCATTTAGAGGTGTTTGATTATATTTACACTAAAAAATACATTTTGAGCCTGTACAGTTATTCTCAGTGATACTCTTTAACTCATTTTAATATCTGTTCTGTTGTAGACCTCAAAGGTAGATTCACCATGCTCCAAAACAAAATTTCAAAGCAGACGTGGGAGGGGTCACGCTTCACAACCACGACAAGTTAGAAAAAGGGCAACAAAGGAACAAACGCAGACGTGCACTGAAACCAACGGTCCACCAGGCAAGCGTCAGCGTGGCAGGACGCGGAAGATTGAGACAAGGGATACTACTACTCAGTCATCCGAACGCTCTAGACCAAGATTTGAACTGGATAAGCCTGATGCAACAGACCCAGGTAGTGTCTTCTTCACGTCTCTCTCGTGCTGTGCCATAATAATACTTTTTGAGAAATGTATCACCCTCCCAATCTAAAGCATTATAAAATGTGCACAAGCACAATGTTTGCAGTATCCGTCTTAAATGTGGTGTGCTCTGTGTGGATTTAATACTGCTTGTAGAGCAGCTCATGTTTTTAAGTAATGCAGGTGAGCAAAATGATCTAGTCTAATTCTGTATTATTGTTGTCCACCCCCCTTCCCCCAAAAAGATGAGTCTTTGCTGTCTTCAGATCTATCAATAGAGCTGAATCACCAGGAGGAACAGCTGCCGTCGTTGTCCTTCCAAGAAAATGAGGAAAGTGAGGAGGAGGAGGAGGAGCTTCCAAGTTTCTTGATGGAGGGGGACAAAAGTGAGAGAGATTGCTGTGACCAAATAAAGTCTACAAGGACTAGATATGGACTGGATTGTGTGTATTCACATTGTATACTTTAAATGGATTGTTTTTGTCTTTCAGAGCCCCCATCCATTTCAGAGGGAGTGTTTGTGTGGTACAAATTTAGAAATTATCCGTTCTGGCCAGCATTGGTGAGTGCAGAAAGCTGTGTGGATCATTGAGTTTGCTTAAGCAAGTTTTTAAATGGAACAGTACACAATTTCTTACTAATATGTTTTGCCTATATCCAAGAAATCAGCGTTTCGTGACATTTGAGAAGCTTGAACTATTGAATTTTTGGCCTTTTTGCTCAATCAGTGTCTCCCTTCTTATGAAACTTGTTTACCAATTTTCTGTCATACACCTTGAATTGATTAGTTCATTAATCATTTCAGCACTATTAAAAACTTTGCTGAGTATAGCTATGCTGTTAAACTCTTAACTCTTAACATGAAGTAAGATAGATGAGGATCACTGGGGAAATTAGATGAAAGATCATAATGGACGTGAAATATTGATGAGCCACAATAAGACCTGTAATATTTTACTCTGCAGGTCAAAAGTGTGAACCGTAAGCAGAGAAAAGCCAGCATCATGTTCATTGATGACCCAATGATTCACAAAAAGAAAGGGTAGGTAGTAAAACTTTGTTGCTTACTGCCTCTGCAATTTTAAAGTGTACACGATTGTCGTAGATTCCCTAGGCAACAAGAATCTCCACAGGTCACCTGGTTGTTGGGGATCGCCAGCAGTGGTGTCCCAAAATGACTGAAAGTCATGAAAGTATGCTGTGCAGTTAGGTGTGGTATTAAAAAGCCTTTAATAATCTGATGTGATGTCATTAAGCCTGGCTTCACAAATTGAGATATTTAAACAAAACATTGAGTGAATTGCCAGCACATTTTCAAATCATCAGGAGTTTGTTTTTTTAGTTGTATGTTTGTGTTCTTGTAGGTTTACTGTGGCTCTGAAATCACTGAAGCCTTTTGACTGTAAAGAAGCAAATGAGCTGGTGGTAAGAATTTAACATAAATTATACACTTAATAAAATTATGTTTTCCTGACACAGTGACAGACAATCTGTCTCTCATATTTGTTATAGTGCAAAGCCAAAGAAAAGTATGAGGCTGCAATCGAGTGGTCCTTAGATCTCATAAAAGATTACAGTATACGGATTGGTAAGTTTGGTCCATTTGATGCTAATACTGGCGGAAATAGAAATTCCAAAGGACACTGATGTTTATATGCATTACATATAAACAGTATTGTTCTACCACTGAATTATTAGCACTAATCGTGTTTTGTCTTTGTAGGATGTGGCTCATTTTCTGGCTCCTTCATCGAGTACTTTGCCCATAACATGAGTAAGTTCTG